TCAGATCCTGTGTGCCCTGGGTATCTGTCATATCTCTCCTGAGGCAGCCACACAAGCTCTGTGGTGACAGCTGTGCACACTCTCTCTGTGTGCGGCCCACAGTGAGCTGCCCTACATGCTGGCCTGGAGCATCCATCAGCTGGACTCCTGACCAGAGACCAGCTGAGGTCCAGAGGAGCTCACCAGCATCCCCATCATGCAGTGAGCTGCAACTCCATATGGCTGATGCCCTAATGTTAGCCCAGCAGTCTCCACCATTGCACATTCACGTCTGGGTGGTTCTCTTCCAGTGTATGCAAGATCTTTGACGTCGGCAGAATAGTGTCAGATACATCCCTTGTCTGTCTTGTAGACAAGAGAATATGGCAAATGTGATGTGATTCTGCAGGTGGAAATAAGGTCTCAAAACAGTTGCTGCTGAGTTTATCAAGAGGGATTTAGGCCTCTCTTGGTCAAGTAAAAGTATTTTCTTTCTTTCTCTCATTTTCTTCTTTATTGATCTTTTGAGACAGGCTCCCGCTATGTAATTCAGGCTTGTCTTGAGCTCACTATGTAGTCCAGGCTGGCCTCAAACTTGTGGTGATTCTCTTACCTCAGCCTCCCAAGTGGTGGGAGTACAGGTGTGCACCACCATGCTCAGCTACTGATTTATTTTTTAATTTTATTGTCTTTTATTTTTTGTTAGTACTGAGTATTCTAGCATACATAAATTTCACATCATAGAGATCACATTTCCCTCTATTATGTTGTAGTTATCTTATATACTAAATCTATATATCCTGAAATACTCAGATGTTTTAAATTCAACAATCCTATATTATAAAGAACTCAAGTGGGCAATATACTAGATTATATTTACCTAGATAGCACCGCTGTTGCTTTCATTCCTAATATCCCAAGTTTATAATATCTTGTTCAAGACCATCACTAATAACTTATTTTAAAAAGGTCTTGAGGTCTTCAAGCAAAGACTCTTAGTAGTATTACATTACCTGATAATTCCTTTCTTCATTTTCTTTTTTGCCATACTGGAAATTGAAACCAAGGTCTTCACACTTAGCTACATCCTCAACCCTTCTTTGTATTTTTCATTTTGAAACAGGGTCTTGCTAAGTCACGAAATTGCCCACACTAGGCTTAAAGTTGTCATCATCTTCCTCAGCTTCCCAGAGTGCTAGGATTACAGGCGTGCACCATCATGCCCAGCTTTTATTCTTCTGTGTGTAGGGTGGAGAGCTGGGAGGGGAATGGAACCCAAGGCCTTGTGCACACTAGGCAAGCGCTCAAACACTGAGTTATTTACCCAGGTTGTTTAAAATCTTTTTAAAGAGGCCTCCCTAAGGTACAGATACTCCTTTTGCTGGTTTCATGAATCAGCCATGTGGGTGGGACTGCAGCTACCCTCTAAGAGCTGTGACAGAGATCTAGCTGCACAAACAAGTCCTACAGCTGTATGGAAATACATTTTGCCAAGTACACAAGTAAGTGGAGAGATACTATCTTCCCTAGTGAAGCATCTCTGAACAACCAGATTAGAATGTGGCCCAACCAATGCCTTGACTGTATCTTGGTAAAAAAATGAGCACAGCACCTATCCAAGGTAGTTTCTTGACTTTTCACTCAAAAAAAGTAGGGGATAAAAAGTATGTGTTGGGGCCGGGGATATAGCTC